AGCTTGAACTTATGATGCTCGAGGAGGACTTCGATATAGTAGGAATAGCGGAAACCTGGCTAGACAACACACATGATTGGGCCACCAATATAGAGGGGTACAACCTGTTCAGGAGGGACAGAGGTGGGAGAAGGGGGGGGGGAGTATGCATTTATGTTAAAAATAATCTAAAAATAATCTAAATATGCATACAAGGGATGATATCACGTCAAACAGTAGGGAGGACGTGGAATCAATTAAGGAGATTAAGGGGAGACATGATTTTCATGTACAAAATGTTCTATAGTCATAGCGACATTAGCAACAAACTCTTTATGATTAATTCCGTAACAAAGACTAGAGGCCACCACCTGAAACTGGTAGAAAAAAAATTCAAACACAAAGGGCGAAGGGGGTTCTTCTCAGTTCGAGCGGTTAGGGTCTGGAACTCGTTGCCACGAGCAGTGATTTCAGCTGATAGTGTGGAATCGTTCAAGAAGCTTTTGGACGATTTCCTGAGAAACGGTAATATACAGGGGTACAGGTACTCCTATAAACGAGATGACACAGGGATCTATACACACACACACACACACACACAATAGGTTGGACTTGATGGACATGTGTCTTTATTCAACCTCAAATACTATGTAACTATGTAACTATGTAACATCATTTAAAAGGTTCACCCATGTAAGCAGAACCTGTCACCGTTTAAATAATATTGATTCTATTAAAGATATTTGAGCTGATTCATGAAGAATTAACTTCTTACAGTTGAAGTGTATGAATTTTTTTTGGGGGGGATACAAGTACCAATTAAAATATGTGTATTAATGTGTATCTGCTTACTTGCAGCAGATGCTTCTGGTCTCCTCATTTCTCCCCTCACAGCCACCGCATATTACACTCAGCAGCGCTTCTAGGGAGCCTCCTCCATTCATGGAATTTCTCTTACTATGATCCAACAATGTATCGAATTCTGGAAATGGATGAGATTGCTGTTGAATGACAGACTCTCCTCCTCCATTAAATTCCTCTTTAATTACTGGTTTGTCTTATATCACATGAAGCAGTAATAACATTTATTTTAGCTACTGTGACACTTTTAGCTGTCCCTTAAAAAGGGAAAAGTTATCCTGTTTTGAAATCCTTAGTAAATGCTGTTCCCACACTTTAAATTGGTGAGATTTCATCCAGCCAGAAGAAAGGGCACAGGGGGGTGGGGGTGTGGTTAGCACTAAGGGAAGGAGCTCTGTGCTTGAGCCATAATCTCTGAGGTCCTAACCAGTGCCTTCCCTTCTGGGGACTTATTTGTTACTCCCAATGGAGCTTACAGAGCACTTTCTATAGCCTAAGGGAGTTTGCACTTTGTTATGGTAAATAAAAGAGGTCTTGTGGAACAAATGCTGTACTACTGAAACTGAGAACTCCTGCTTACTAATGTTACCTCTAATTTTCTATGCAATCCGGTTTTATGGACATCCAATTATTTGTATGCACTATGAAAGGTTCTGTGTAGTGTATAGGAATAGAGAAGTACCCTCTTCTACCCCACTATGTAAAGAAATAACCCCCCTTCATCAGAGGTCCTTGGCTAATAGAGTGAATAGGAAACAGATACCCAGCTGGATTTCATGATATTCATGGTACTAGGACCCAGAGTCAAGTCCTAGAGTAAAAAGTAGTATTTTACTCAGGCAACCAATTATGTTTGATGTAATAACTGGTACTGTTCTTGATTAGCTCTGCCTACTATACCTAAGGGGTGTCCATCCTGTTACAACTCCCTGCAGCAAGAAAAGGTAGTACAATTCTGTCAAGCTTGTCATTCACTGCTAAAATAAACATATCCTGACCTACTGTTTGGGGCTTACTTTAGTGACAACTAAAAAAATCTGATATATCTACCTTTTAACTAGTTAGAGGCTTAAGAGAGAATTATATACATTTGTAAGTAAAGCTGCAACCCCTAGGCATATATTAATTCCCTTCCCTCCCACCCCCCTCTAACTGATCTCTGGCAAGACAACAAGAAAAAACTTTAATTACCTAAAGCTGCCATCACATGCTGTTCCAGTCCTAAGTCTTCTTTGTTCTTCTGTTTACAGGAGGAGGCATCCTTCTTTGGGTGTCCATGTCACTGCCTACATATTATTTTTCCTGAAGATGGGCTTTCAGCTTTCTGATAAGCATAATATGCTTATCACGTTGTCACGTTAAGTTAGATTTTGTAGGCTTAATTACCTAATAGCCTAATTGAAAATAATTATGTTTTCAATTGTACTGTATAATTAGTATTCTTCTTTGAACATGAAACTGAAGGTCCTATTTTCACATAGATGGCTAAAATTATGAGCTGATTTAATGCATAATCATACCATTCATGTTGTAGTTCTCATGTGCAAAAGATCTTTTGATGTTGAGCTTACTGTTTTTGTTGCATGTATGCCTTGACTGGTCCCCTATATTATAAAAATATGTTCCCCACTGCTTTGCTTTGGTGCCTCCCAATCATTCAAGCGTTCACTTATTTAATTATCTGTCCGTCTTAGTTTAGTTTACTTCTAGTTCAATCTAATTCCCTCTGGCCCCTCATAGTCTCATCGGGACCGCAACATGCTCAGGTGAATCTGAGATGCTACCAGGTGATTGAGATGCTTGCTTGCTCACTAGTTTGTCTTGAGTCGAAACCATGTTATACCACATGTACGTATCTTTTATAAATGCGTTTGTTTATAGTGGTAATGCTGTACTTTGGAACCTTTGGTGATATCACACTATATTATATTATGTCTTGTTTTATGATGTTTCTTACAAGTTGCCGTCTGTACCTTTTTGGGGGCAGACCGAATTGTCTTATTGTTTTTCTTATTGACAAAACTCTAATAAAGACTATTTGCTAAAAGAAAAAAAAAATATGTTTGCACTGAGTCTGACCTTCGTTTGGGTCTTTACTGGTAGTGTAAACTTTTTTTTTTGAGAAGCTGGAACATCAGATTTCACAAGCAGCAGCCAAATTCTGTTTGTTTTCCTAATGTTTCCATGATGTAAAAACTATTTCCTAGATTAATTCTGGTCTTAGCCTGTAAACTGGAAAACATAACTGTAATCCACTACAGTTTTTATACAGCAATATATTAAATTTTTAGAAACAAGAGTAATATGTATTGCTTTAATACCTTTACATTAAAAGTAAATTCTGTAAATACTGTACGTTGTTATTAAAGCAAGAGAGAATTAGCCACCAATAGGAAAAACAGAAGCTGTAATCTTGGTAGAAAGGAGGGATTTTCTATATTGTGGCCGATTAGTGGATATCAGTGAAATGCTAACCCCACCCAGGTCAAATATGAAGGTCAATCTATTACACTTGGTGGATCTAAAGCTGACACAAATTAATGTAGCACTGTATTCATTAATACAACATTAGATTTATTTTTTAAAAAGGAGAGAAGAGAGTAACAGTAAAATGAGCTCACCAGTGTGCTGTTTCTTCTTTCACTGTCCATTCACAGGTTGGAGTTGGGGAGGAAAACTGTAAGTGTTATTGAACCAAAGTCCTGTCTTGCCAGACAGGGTTGTGTTGTGTGACAGAGTTGTGTCAGAACTGGATGGACAGAGATACAAATGCTTTGATAGGTAGACCTGTTAACTATTATGTTTTTTATCTTTGTATTTAGGTGTTTAGCATTAAAAGAAATAGTTTTTCCTAATTATTGTGTTTAAAATGTGTTTTTAAGCTAGTAGATATATTATTTTAAATATTTAATTGTCCACAAAAGAAATATCCAGCCCTTCATGATGGTTGCCAATGTTCATAGAAAATTAGAACTGACATCATAGGTATTTTACATCAATGCAGAACTTTTGTGATCTGAAGCAAGACGGAAACCCCAGGAGTTTATCAGCTCCCAGCACTGGGAGCACTGGATCCCGGTTTTAGCTGACAGACAAATGTTCTAGTAACCATTCCCACTGGACATCCCTTAGCTATTTTGAAATGATGGCATGCCTAAAATGTTTAAAATCCAATTCTCTAATCTGTCTTTATTTATAAATACAGTGGCCCCTTGGTTCACGGACGCTTCTGTTCCCGAACAATGCGGTTCGCAAACAGGAAGTGCGGCAAAATTTTGCTCCCGTTCACGAACTCCGCATCGGGTGACGAGCACAACCGCAGCCATCTTCCCTGCTCTGACACATGGTCGTGGCTTCCTCTAGTTGAGATCGCGGTCTGATCACAGTTTGATTCGGTTCGCGACCAATTCGGTTCGCGACCAGAATCGTGGAACAAATTAAGTTTGTGAGCCGGGGTACCACTGTAACTCTGTTCTCAGTCTGTCCCCTAAGTCAATGTTGACATTTGAGAGCTATCCTATTTTACTATCTGTTAGGTTTTCGTGGCAAAGCATGGATACAAAGATTGATAGCCAAGTAATTTTTTCCAGGCAGTAGGTTCAGAGCAAGCGAGGTTTGTTAGATGTCAATTAACTACTAGCACGTTTTTACTGTTGAAGCAAACCACCACAATAATTTTGGCATAGATAAAATGTATTTCCGTTTCTTTGCATATTTGATTGTTATTTGTGTAGGCTAGCCCTCAATTTTCTTATTATAGTTTTTCATTGTCTGTTTTTTTTTTTACAATTTAAAATAATGAGGTTTATGAGGGGCCTTTTTTTAGTACAAAGCCTGGTTCTATAACCCTCAAGAGCCATTTAAATCCTATTGCACCCTTTGAAAACCTACCAAAACCACCTCCATTTCACCTTCATCACTGATTGCAATGTATTCCCCCAATATTGCAAAATATCACAGAAATCTCCCAATTTTTGCTGAAATTTCATGGAAATTAAAAATCTCAATTACACTTATCTCTAACAGGGAAAGCATACAAATTCCATGAAGGGCAATAAACTCAGGACTTCAAGGTTAAATGTGACCACTTAGCTCCTAAGCTGGTTTATTAGTTTCTGTACTGTAGGTTAGACCAAAGATAATATAAATGTTTATCTTACATGATGAATGTTGTCAGGTTGCACCACTGGTTTGGATCTACAGCCTTCATCCTGTTTTCAAACACTTTTCCACATTTAGGCAAAAGCTCCAATAAAACTGTTTCATTGCACTTTATCACAGGGTGCTGTAAACCACCTATATATTGAAAGTGAGAAAATGCTGATTAGCAGGTTATTTAACACCAACATTTATTTAGCACTAATATGTAGAAAAGTACAGTACATTATCCACAAACAATTTAAAAGAAAAAAAACAGCATTGCAATATCTCTGACTTTACACACAGATACTATATAAGAGCAGTGCATAAAATTGACTTACTGTTTTTTACTTTACATATATATAATTGATGCACGCCCACTCAGAGACTGAATAACAAATAACCTTAGTTTGTAAATTAAGCATTTGTGGGGCACAGTGTCAAATGCTTGTACAAAATCCAGATAAATTACATTGACTGCCCTTCCTTTAGCTAAACTATTGCTCACATCATCGTAGAATGTTAACAGGTTGGCCTGAAAAGTATGGTCCTTCATAAATCCATGTTGATTATTACTTATAATAACATTTTTAATAGTAAAGTTTGGAAGATATCTTGCAGACAGTTTCTTGTTGTGTGCCTTAACTTTAACTGCCCCTGACTATGTTTAAAGGAAAGGTAGCATTTCAGAATATGCCTAAAGAGCAATGCATTTGCTTTGTACATGGTTGTTGGCCATCAGATGCTGATGCAGGTCTTCCAAAGTTAAAGTGTATGTAAACCTTAGCAGTGATCTTCCCTTATTTGATCTCTTTTGGCGTGTTAATTATACCATTAAACATGTTTTGTTATATCTATTAGATAAGTGCAAAAAAAAATAACTGTTGATTTTGCCAGAACCCTTGTTAGTGGATACCTTCCTGTACTCTTTGGTGTACGTTTAATAAACTGTGATAAAACTAGCTTTATCACGAGTTAACTTTACTCAGCAGATCTCTTTGTTTTTCTCGGCTGCACAGAGGCTGTTTAATAACCTGCGAAAAGAAAACTTATCTCACGTAACAGCTGTGAAAGGCTGAGATAAGTTATCTCAGTGATCAGTTGAGAAAGCAATGTGGGGAATGTATTCTGAGCTGCACAATGGCATCCTTTGTGATAATCTGCAATCCTCCTGACAGGATCGTAGTTTAATCTGCCAAACCACCCATTAACAATATTACAAAGCACCGCTATAGCAAAGTGCAACAGTTATTTCACCATTACAATTATGAAAATTGCTAAAAAGCAGGATTTACATGTTCTGATTTGTTCAGCATGTACCAGTACAAAACCATGAATTAAACTACCAGAGGCAGCCACAATGTGAGGCAGTGATGGGGTTAAACATTCTAAAGGGGCACTCTGATGGAGCCTAGCAATGTAAGTGGGCACTCTGACACATGCTGGAAATTAGAATGTTTGGCGTCCATGAAAAAAGCCTGCTGTCCCGAGATAGAGTTATAAAACAGCATTTTCTAGACTTTTCACTTTGCTAAGGTGAGAAAAGCCTTCTCACTGCTTATCACACTCTTTCACAGTTTATTAAACGTACACCTTTGTGTGGAAGGGTTATGGAGATGAGAGGGGAAAGCAGGGGAAAGAGAGATCTTTGTTCTTTGCAAGCTCAGAAGCACAGTGGCTTATTGGTTAGCACGTCTGCCTTGCAGCACTGGGGTCCTTGGTTTAAATCCTAGCCAGGTGCTATCTTCATGATCTTTGCATGTTCTCCTTGTGCTTGCGTCCTTTGGCTCCTGTCCTAATTGGCCCCAGTATATGTGTGCGTGTATGTATGTATCTGTGATAAAGACCTTAGACTGTAAGTACCCTGAGGGCAGGAAATGATATGAAGGTGCAGTATGTGAAGTGCAGCATAAACTGTCAGTGCTATATAAATGCCTGTGATAAATAATACATCAGAAATGAAACAGGAAAGGGTGACACCATGTGCCTTGGAATGCAAAGATATCATGTCAAGCATACTATATTTATTACCCAGACTTTTCTGTGAAAATGTGACTGTTAATTACTCAGACATGCAACACTTTACCCCAAATTTTTTTTGAGACAGATAACGTTTTCTCTTAGTGGAATTTAATAACATAACCATTTTAATATATAAAACAAGTTTGAAAACAATTTCCTCTTACTTTCTTTTCAAAACATATCAAATAAAAATGCCAGGAGAGTAAACAAACCCCAAAATGGCCCCTTTCCAGAAAGTCGACACCAAAAGGTAATCTCATTGTTGCCACACCAGTTAAGTGCCCTGCCTAAGATAACGCAGCCTTTCTATTGAAAACATCTCCTTTGGCTCCTTTTTACTGCACATGAGAGCGTCATTACTATGGGTAATGTGTATTCCAGCCATCCAAAACCATATTTTACTCTAAACCTAACTAAGTACAATAGCTATAATATTTTTCTCTGTTCAAATGTTTGCACTGAAAATTATAAGTGCAGGCGTATGCCATACATCAGGGGAATTCCCCAGCCCACAGCTGATTGGCCGGCTGGCCTTCTGTAGCTTCCAGATTCCGAGAAATTCAGGTTCAAAGCAGGGTTTGGTCTGAACCTGAGCGCATCCCTAAAAAGCACTAACTGGATCATTGTGTGAAAACTTAAGGTGCTCATACACCTTATGATTTTCGGACGAAAATTTTCGTCCGATGATCATTTCCGATTTCGTACGGCAGCCCCATCATGCCCCGATGATTGCAAGATTCATTTAGCCGTAATTAAGGAAAAGCATCTGGACGAATTGCGGTAATTGATTTGTTGTATTTTCGTTAACGCAAGCGCAGTGTAGGTCGTACGACTTTTGACGGACGGAAACGCCAGCAACCTTAAGAAAATGTACGATCTAGCAAAGTTTGCAAACATGCTTGACCGTCAAAAGTCGTACAATTGTACAGTACTGTTGGTCGGACACTGCAATGCACACATGCGATTATCGGCCGAAAAGTCGATCCCATACGAAAATCGGCACCTTTAATCTGTTCTCCAGGTAACAATACAGGTCTAGGTGGTTGTGATTGTTAAGATGCACTGCAACCAAAACTTGTTTTGGGCACCTCAGTTAATAAGAAAGAACAGATTACCACTGGGGCAAGAAGTATGTTTCAGTAAAAAATATCCTTTGCAGAGACAGATATCTCAAGGGCCTGAACATGTGCAGTGCACATTTTAAGCTGAATGCCAGCCTTACCTTCAGTTTTACACCATTATACAGACTCCCCTTCTGTATTGAAATGGCTTAATCTGATTTCACTGCACACTATGAACATGTCAGAGTGCAATGAAAGCTGCAGCAAGTCATATAGAGCCCACCTTGTTCCCTGGATGGAGGACATAGCATATTTTGGCCTTTGCTTCCCAGATTTTTAATTAATTAGATTTCAATTATTTTAATAATGGAGACTCAGTATCACATGTGGGAATTATCTAAGGCAGTTTGTATGCGAGTGCAGTATGCCTAGGAATTCCCAATCCTCAAGACTGACAGCTACCCATGAAGGCATTTTGACACTATCACTCATTTAGGCTTGACCTGCAAGACAACAATGGGAGTCAGTCTCAGTGGTGCAGTGAGCCTAAGCAGCAAGTCTAAAAAAAGAATAATTGTAAATACATGACACATGAATCAGTGCCTGAAAAAGCCAAAAAAACTACTTCTTACAAATCCATCCCAACCACCAACACCTGGGTTTTCACATGAATGTTTATTCAGGTAAGAATTTAGTTAAAGGGAAAATTGTAAAAAAAAAAAAAAAGAATATAGCATACATAATTGTTACACAAGCCATTTTGGAATTGAATTGCCTTAAAACTGTCAAAACAATTAAATGCAATATGGCGACCTGGAGTTGGTGTACAGAAATTCTGCAGAAATGTAATTTCCTGCTTTCCTTGATTGGCTGACTGATTTTGACAAACTTCTGCACTTAGATACAAGTATAATTTCAGGCAACCCCTTGCAATAAGAATTTCATTTTTAGTGGCAATGGTGAGTTGTTCCCTAAAGGTGAATTCTAAATGGATGCAGCTTTCCTGATTAGAACACAGAAGTCCACCAGCTGATTATAGTGAACTCAGACCCTTCAATTCAGGAATCAGCTTGGAAAGAACATGTTGGAACAAACAGATTTTCTTCAGAACAGAAAAAGGTAAGACTCTACATAGATTGTTAAAATCCTTGCAATGTCCATTGTCACAGAAGTCTCAGTGTCTGGGCACCTGGAGGGGACTGAAGACCAGCCTCCTTCCCACCATCTATGGGCCCTGACCTGGATTAAGGTTTTAAATTGCTGGTGGAGCCAGTACTGTATGTTATCATGCACCTAACATCTAAACTCATCTTCTCAGGAGAAAAGGTGATTAAGGGGGGACAGGATCGCCATGTATAAATACATATATGGTCCATATAGTGAGCTTAGTGCCAAATGATTCACTTTAAGGTCACTGCGTCTGGAGGAAAAGAGGTTTAACCTTTGCATACAGAAAAGATTATTCACAGTTAGAGCTTTGAAAATGTGGGATAGACTCCCCCAGTAGCTAGTTCTAGCTAGCTCAGTTAATTGTTTTTAAAAAGTCTGGATGGATTCCTAAATGCACAGACTATTACTGGATATTGAGTTCTTATAGGTATATTAAGCACCAGAGATTTTTGATCCAGGGAATATCCAATTGCCTTATGGGATCAGGAAGGATTTTTTTCCCCCTGTTGGAGCAAATTGAACCATGCTTTATAGGGTTTTTTTTTTTGCCTTCCTCTGGATCTGGATCAGTTAGTTTGAGCTGATTTTAAAAAATGTCTTTTTTTTTTTTTTAAATAATGTAATCTTACATTAGGTAGGTGGGCTCTGTGGGCTTTAAAATGTGTGATGCTTGCTCAATAAAAGTGTTCCTGTTTAACCCTAATATTGGTTCTGTCTGATGTGTAGGGTAATGTTTCTGCTATAATCAACTGTGCCAATCAGCTCCTGCGCACAGGGAGCTAGCTTTGACTGCATATCCAGTTGGAGTACAGGCGTTGCCGTCACATACGTTGCTCACCCTGAGGGGATTGATTTTTTTCTCAACAAAAGTGGAGTTACTCTTTAACTCAACTTTTCAGCCAATTATTACATGCTAACACAATAATGTTTCCACAGTTTCACCATGTCGCACAGAATTATTTAGGCCTCATACACATGAGTGTAATGAACAGGCATTTGTATTTGCCCTTAAGTCTAAAATTTCTCATTCGTCCCATGATTCAGGTTGTTTTGACAAAAGTAAGCTAAAGTCATTTACAGCAGGACTCCACTGTTTTTTGTTTTTTTTTTATACAGTTTGCGTTGCAAAAAAAAGAAGCACCAATGATGTATCTTCTCCTTCTGGATGCTTAGTACCAAAATATGTAGTATGTAACAATTTATACTTGTCAGGCCTGATGAACATTGCTCCTGGGAGAGTAGGAATCAAGTGAGCAAAGGTCTGGAAATGCTATTCTTTCTAAGGATATTTCCATTTACTGCAATACTTATTTAGGATACAGATATGCACTGCAGTTTACAATACATTGGTAGAACACAATTTGATCATTTACAAAACAATGAATTGCAGATAATTATCACATAGACAACATAATGTGACCTACTGCTTCAGTGATGGAAGCTGAGTGTTCTAATAAATGTGATCTGATGTTTTGGAAATATACCAAGTGGATTTGGAAAGGATTTGGCAAGAAAAAATACTGCAGTAGGCAGCAATGCCTTATTTGCATATTCTATAATCCAGTGGAATTTATTTGCAATGTGTGGGCATAGATAGCCAGTAATCAGAGTGACATAAATTCACAGTAAGTTTCCATCATAAAGACAAATGTGAAATGTGACCTTTGTAAATATTGGTTTGCTGTAGCAGTTTAAGCAATATTAAGAAAAAGAGGGTGACTATACAGGCAAGCATATAAGTGCAAAATGTGCTTTAAAACATATTTTTTTTTCCCCATCAAGCAGCACTTGGAGTCTATTAGTGATTCAGGAGAACCACAGATACATTTTCCATAGATCCCTTATAGAAAAGCAAATACAATTTTAACCTTTGCAGTGGGGCTACCCCCGCACTGCAAGGGTTAATGCCTGTTTTGTCATAGGGAGCTAAATAACAGAGTTATACTCTCCCAAACCGCGATCCTGGCTGGCTGCTAGATAGGCGACTTCTTCTGCCTCACTCCACCTCCACTCCAGTGCTCTAAGGTCCTATGAATCACATTCAGTGTATTAGACGTGGGGACATAGGATGAAAGGACCCATCAGCCAGGATTGTGATTCGGGTGAGTATATCTAAGTGACCTTAGAGCACTGGAGGGGAGGTGGAGTGAGGCAGAAGTCGCCTATCTAGCAGCCAGCCAGGATCGCGGTTCGGGAGAGTATAACTCTGTTATTTAGCTCCCTACACAAAACATGCACTTAACCCTTGCAGTGCAGGGGTAGCCCCACTGCAAGGGTTGATTTCATTTGCCCAGACTTCTTCTTTAAATCCATTTTTACACCGCCTAAGAACATTACATTTACTGAATGTACATTAGGCCACCTCAAATCTATTTGCACCAGAAACAAACATTCATGGGTGTAACCTCAATACACCCTCTTTCATTATGGTATAGTCTTGAAATATATTACCCCAGAGGGTTGAACAGTAATTTATAGAGGTTATTTCAGAAGATTTTTCATATGGTGAAAAAATATACAGTGAGGTTTATTAAAACAAAATTGAGAATGGAATACAAACAAGGCGACATGTTTACTTTGAATTTGCAATGTTGTGCAAAAGGATTGAAAAAATTTGACTTGCACATGCTTGGATGATTGAAGTATACACAACTTTAAATTATTCACTCAGATAAGTGAACATTCACTTAAAAAACAGATAATTTTGTAATCGTTTAGTACCTCAGTACCCAACCATAGGCCCACTGTGCTCCAAACTTCTATTCTGGTCTGAAGCACAGTGGTATGCACATTGAGTGTCAATGGCTCTGTTGGGCTTTAGTGCTGTGACACCCATGGTCCAGCACTAAGACTTGCAGCTGCATTGATCAGCTCCTGGACTTCTGCTCCTGCTAATGAGCACTCCATAGGAGACATACTTTACAGTGTGTTAAAGGAGAAGTATTGGGAGAGTAATATGTATTCCCAATACTTGGCGTGTGACAATAGTTGTCGCATGCCGTCTCTATATATCAAACCGCTGACTGACTGCAGGAATTCCCCCCTCCCCTCTCTGTTCCTTCAGCGCTCATTGGAGAGACAGACAGGGGAGGGGGCAGGCACAGCTGACTCTGGCTCTAGCTCTATAGAGGCAGAGCCAACTGTCAATCTGACAATATTATCGGACTCTTTCCTGGCTGCTGCATGGCTTTGCTCTGTCAGCAAATAGCGGGCAGTAGCCCGCTAGATGCTGACTTTGGGTCTTAGGAGTACATTGGTAAATGTACTCCTTCGACCCAAAAGAGGACTAAAGGCAAAAAAAAAGGTTTGACTTTAGTTCTCTGTTAATGCAACAAAAAGTTATGAAAACTATTGTGCAGTCTTCTTGACATGTCTGGGGCCGCACTTAAGGCCCTCTATATGCACGAAGTTGGCCACCACTGAAACAAGCTAGGAATCTCGTCTCAAGATAAAAGATAAGGACAACAAAATGGTTTTCTGTTTCTTTTAACCCAGTCCATACAAGCCATCTTCATCTTTTGTAGCCTGATTTCACCTGTCCTAAAGTACAGCACAAACTTTGTTCAAGTATAACAGGGTACTAGTTTGATGAACAGAATTTGAAAAAGAGACAACAAAAATGTTTTGGTCTTCCAGTGATAGCACATCTATGGCTAAGAGAATAAACCTGAAATTTTTAATCGATTCTTGTTTAAAGGACAACTCCACTTTTAGTTGTAAGTGGCAGCCACCTACCTAAATACTTGTCTTCAGCCCTGCTCCAAAGTTCTTCCTGGTGCTGCACAATCCTCTCAGAAAAACATTCTGGCTGGTCTGTACTCATGGTGGCCCCCAGTCGTCCAGAGGAGGACATTCCTGGCCATGGGAATACAAGTACTTAGCAGTGCACATGTACAACAGGAACTGGATGTGGATAGGACTTTTTGCCTGGCTGTTGGACACGAGGCAGGACAGCACAGTGAAGAACTCACTATGTAAGTGGCATGTGTTTGCCACTTAACCCCTTCGCGACGGGAGACGTACACTGTACGTCCAGCCACAAAGGGACCAAATAACTTGTCACGTACACTGTACGTGACGAGTTATTTGCTGCTTTAGAGGGCTGTTAATCGCTGAGAATCAGCTTTTAACATTCATTAATGTATGCCCTTACTACAGAGGCATTCATTAATGAAAGGGTTAACCTTTTTCAGACACCCGATACCTTAATATCGGGTGTCTGAGAGTCAAAGCAAAGCGGACACAGATGCCGGCTTTTGCCGGCATTCTGACAGCTCGTATAGATCGAGAGATATCTCTCTCAAGCTATACTGGCTTTTTTTTTTCTTTCATGAATAGATACAAAATGTGTCTATTCCTACAATGTATCTATTCCTGGAAGAAGAATGTTTGTTTGCTGATCGTTGTTGCAACAATCAGAAAACATTTAGTAACAGCTGAATCCTGAACTGCTGCAGGATCAGTGTCACTAACTTATTATCGGCTGTTCTGAAGTTTGAAGCAGCCTGATAATAACCAAAAATTTATTAATTTATCATGCAGTAACAGTGAGATTAATTCACAAAATCTGCTTGATATAATTAAATAAATAAAATAACATTTTTAAGTTAAAAAAAAAGTGAAAAGTGTAAAAAAAAAAAAAAATTGTGAAAAGTGTAAAAAAAATAAAAAAATGTGTAAAAAATAAAATAAAATAAGGGACAAATAAATGAATGTATTTATTGCATTTTTTTAGCTGTGCTGGTTTTGTAAAAAAAATACTACAAATCAAAACTGGGAAAAAAGTGTTTTTTTTAAACGGTTTTTTCCTCTTTTTTTATATTTTATTTGTCCTAAGTGAGGCGTTAGACGCACATATGTGATATAAATATGTAGCCCTATCTGTCCTCTAAAAAACAATATATAATATGTGTGGGTGCACTTTGTAAGAAAGTATATTACTGACGTGGAAGAATCACACAGCAAAAATGTCAAAAGTGTGTCAGTCATTTACGAACAGAAACTAAAAACAAGCTCAGTCATGAAGGGGTTAAAGGAGTGGAGGGAACATTTAGAGAACAACTTCATTAAAAGTGAAAATATCTTTTAAATACACTTTGCTATTATTAAATAAAACCTTTTAAACTAGTTAAGATCTAAAAAAAAATCTTCAGAACCTATTTTCTAATCTTCACACAACAGAGTGTGGCAGCTGTGCAACTTCACATTGAGGGTGTGTTCCTCCTGGGTTTTAACTGCCTTTCCTGTCTGCCTTTGTCCTATAGTGCTCACAAATTACACAATGATTCAGAGGAAGAAGAGAGTTTTAGAAAATAATAAATCACATAATCTGTGTAGTATTTATTTTTCATTTAAAACCGGTTTGTTTAGGGAATACAAAGAGCAAATGTATTCACATTAATAAGATACCGTATGTAAAAAGAGCTGACTCACATTAGCGATACTTGGTTACCTCTAGCTATGAAAATGGCTATATACTTTTATTTTTTTTAAATGTGATCTGTTATACAGCTGACATTTCATGTTGTAGTTTTAAGAAAAAGGACTTGGATATTTGACTGTAGGAATCCCAGGCCTGATTTGTTAAAGCCAAGATCATGCTGCTAGCAAGTCTGCACACATGCACATGTGCTGGCAAATTCATATGGGCAGGGATGGTCATGTTTCGTGGAAGACTGGTGAGACATAGATTATTATGGATGATAAATAACAAAAAAAATGCAAAGATTATCGCCGAATAGTAGCAGAAATCACTGCAACCTTGTACACCCTGTTTTAGAGGTCCATGTTTGCTAATTATTCCACTTCTGCAATCCTACTTCCTGATTGGATGAAGAATCACCCAACCTCTTTCTATGGGCCTAGAGAGGCAAATACGTACCTCCTGTGGTTGTATGGATTACAGGTGCTTTTTCATCATGCTGCCTGGGATCTTTGTGGCCATTAAAGCAAGCAGTAATGAGCAAAATAATATCTACACAGTAATATCTACACAATAAATGATTGACAGTCTCCGTTAAGCTGCAGATCTCTCTCTTCACATGGGGATGTACTTGCACACTAAAATAGGAGGATGTAAAGGTGCTGTTCAAGCACATCCGCATAGAGATGTTAGAGAAGGGGAGGAGAAGGAAGTGCTGATCACATGACTGTTCCTTTTCCACAATTTACAGATATTTTAGCAACCTATTTTGATAAAAAAGAGGGGGTGCAGGCATGGTTTAGGAAACAGGTTTTGGCTACTAAAATGAATTCTGGAGTTGAGTTTTATTATGTTAGAAAAGGGTATATGTTGGCAACTGCTATATGAAATAAAAAAAAACATCAGTTTATAGTACCTGTAAATGCTAGGATGAAAGAATCACGTCAGTGCAGTGCGGGTTCAGCCTGCATCCACACATCCAGCAATGCTGCCAAGCATCTTTTTAAAATTAAACTTTTCTGAAACATTTTGTAGCAAGGAAGCAATCTAGCTGTGATAGCACTCTTCCAGAAAAGACCGAAGCTGTTTCATCTACCAGGATCTCCAGGCTGAAATAACAGGACAGCAATAAAAAAAAAAAAATGAGCTCACTTGAAATTGTACTGGGGGAGGTATTATTTTAATCATTTTCCTTTCAAGGGTTACACACATACTTTTTAAATATACATATTATTTCAATTACCTGAAATAATAAGTGTATAAACTGCTATACCTCCAACGAATAAAACATTAAAATTAAAATTATTTTTCTACCTGAATTATTTTGAATGTCAAGTTATTATTTATGCAAAACTGCAACCTGCAATGGGTGAGCAAGGTTACAATCCGGGACATATTATGCTGAAAATGATGCAGCTCCCTTTCTTTCAACGTACACTATATTGCCAAAAGTATTGGGTCACACCTCCTAAATCATCAGGATGCATGTGTTCCAATCACCTCCGTGGCCACAGGTGTATAAAATCAAGCACCTAGGCATGCAGACTGTTCTACAAACATTTGTGAAAGAATGAGTCGCTCTCAGGAGCTCAGTGAATTCAAGCGTGGTACTGTGATAAGTTGCCACCTGTGCAATAAGTCCATCCGTTAAATTTCCTTGCTACTAAATATTCCATTGTCAACTGCATCACCAAGTGCAATGCAAAACGTCGAATGCACTGGTGTAAAGCACGCTGCCACTGGACTCTAGAGAAGGGGAGACGTGTTCTCTGGAGTGACAAATCATGCTTCTCTGTCTGGCCATCCGATGGACGTGTCTGGGTTGGGTGGTTGCCAGGAGAACGGTACTTGCCTGACTGCATTGTGCCAAGTGTAAAGTTTGGTGGAGGGGGGATTATGGTGTGGGGTTGTCTTTCAGGGGTTGGGCTTGGCCCCTTAGTTCCAGTGAAGGGAACTCTTAAGGCATCAGCATACCAAGACATTTTGGACAATTTCATGCTCCCAACTTTGTGGCAACAGTTTGAGGATGGCCCCTTCCTGTTCCAACATGACTACGCACCAGTGCCGAAAGCAAAGTCCATAAAGACATGGATGAGTGAGTTTGGGGTGGAGGAACTTGACTGGCCTGCACAGAGTCCTGACCTCAACCCGATAGAACACCTCTGGGATGAATTAGAGCAGAGACTGCAAGCCAGGCCTTCTCATCCAAAATCAGTACCTAACCTCACAAATGCGCTTCTGGAAGAATGGTCAAACATTGCCATAGACACACTCCTAAACATTGTGGACAGCCTTCCCAGAAGAGTTGAAGCTGTTATAGCTGCAAAGGGTGGGCCAACTCAATATTGAACCCTACGGACTAAGACTGGGATGCCATTAAATATCATGGGCGTGTAAAGGCATGCGTTCCAATACTTTTGGCAATATAGTGTATTTTAAAAGTTTTTTCTTAACTTCACATCGCTTTGTATCCTCTGCAACTTTATATCATGTGAGCTGTTATAGGACACTGTGGTAATACTGACCCAAACATTGACCCCTTTAGAGTGCTGTGCCTCATGAATTCATGGTAGTTCATATGACATGAGGTCACAATAGATGTAGACCTTGCTTAAAGCATTTGCCGAAGATTGTGACATTGTGTCTCTCTCTAGCTATTAAGCTCATTTATGTAAATACATGTTCAGTTTTTATGAACTGTTCTTCTCTTATCTTTAACCTCTGTATCTTTCTCAAAGATTGACATCAGGCAAACATAAAAAGAACATAATCTTATCCAGTTATGTATATGTTAAAAGTATATATTTTTGTATAACTAGCATAAGCACTTAAATCTCTCCTAATAACAGACAACTGTACTAGCAGCAGTACGCAGACTTGGAGAGTTAGAGAAAGTACTCCAAGTCAATTAGGACACTCCTGTTTTGAATACTGCTTTCCATGAACACTGCCTACATGCTTATAGGAACAGAGAAGAGTGACTACCTCATCTGTTTGCTGCTTATATAATAAAAGGCTTGGGTGTATTGATGATCTAGTTTTATTGTTTAACTGTAGCAGAGAAAAAATGATGTCATCATTCTGGCTGGGATGTCTAGTAAGTGTACCTGGATCACAAAATGAAATAAACATGTAATCTGTACCCGCACGGATGACACCGTACATTTATTGCTAATAGCTGGTGAGTCGTAATCTGCTCATGCTGGGAAGTGTGCGCTCCCTAATTAATACACAAATCTAATGTACAATATATGTTTTTATTCTATTACCCTATGAACCCAATGGATAAATGTGTTAAATACCAGTAACAAACCATTATTTCTACTTGTAATTAACACTCAATGTCACATCCTATTATACAATAGATTTGTTAAAAAAAATCAGTAAACTAAAAATCACTT